TATCAAGTGAATCACATATAGGAATACTAGTAAATAAAGAAACCACATCAAAACTTACCATAATTTTGTCTTCTTCAATAATTATTTCCATTACTTTCCTTTTAAATTGCTCAATATTTTTAATGTTCGAAAGAAACACTGTATTGATAATGTATTCGTGGTATGTATTTTGATAAAGTATATGTCACTGAATTGGTAAAATCAATTATTGGTCTTAAACGAAAATTACAAAGCAACATACAACACTGATCTTTACAAATCAACTATAGAAGAGTGAACACAACAACAATTTGACATGAGTCATTACAAATATATGTGAGGACAGCTTATATACTTCTATTGGTAAAAAATGTCCATAGACAAATGACCTACAAATAAACTGACTTCATTTTATGTAAAAATTTTTGACGATATATATTTTGATGATTAATAAAAATCCGAATAAATCTGCTGAAGAGGCTGTGGCTTACATAGCGAAACGTTCAGAAAAATCTTGTTTTGATTTTCTTAACACGCTGGGATTAATAATAATAATAATTTACATTATTCCAGAAACAGTACTAGTGGTACAGTGTGGAATTTTCAGCACATATCAACAATATTGCGTCTAATTTCATCTCACATTTAGAAGGAATATTACAAAAAAATAAATATAAAAAAACAACAACAAAACCAAAAAGAAACACAAAAATAACAAAAAATGCAAATAAAAGTACCAAGTAGAAAGGAAGATAAACACCAATAATGAATAATATTTCAGTATTTGGTAGTGGGAGCTATGATATGTTTATGCGTGGTGAACAGTAACAGCTATAATCATAGACGAAGTTATAAAATGTTCTTAAGGATGTTTATAGCCAAGATGATCGATTGAACTACACTAAACAATCATAAAATAAACATTTCAGGTTTTTTTTATATTGTCAGCACTAGTGCATTGTTTGTTGTGGTAGTGTGAGTAATCATGCATAATACAAAAATTTTAGGATGGTGATAACGGCGTTCATAAACAAAGATTGTCAGTTTAATATTGCCAAACAAAAAATAACAATCACAAAACTAATATTACATGAAGGTTATTGACACGACAATTTTGTAAAACTCATAGTGATAATATAGCCGGACCCAGTAGATACACAAAATAAGGAATAGAATAAAGAATAAAAAAGTAAGCCAATGATAATAATTTTAGATAGCTAAGTGTGTTTAAGAAGGTTGTTCACTTTAGAGTACAAATAAGAGAGTATAAGGGAGAATTAAAAAGGACCAAAATTTTGTTATTAACAACAAAGCAGGTCATAGGTTTCGCGCTTAACACTGTCTCTGTCACTTAGAACACAGGCCAAATTTAAATAATTTATAATGAATCAATCTGACTCGGCGCTCAAATTATTCCAGGAAGTTCGTAGCACCTACGGTGTGGAAACTTATAATCTTATATGCATTGTGAGCTAGTAATGGCAAGTTATGTTTACACACACACACACACACGCACACACACACACACTGTTTATTCACTGTAAATTGTGACGATGAAAGCTGTTTGTTTAATCCAGCTTCACTTGACAGTGTTACAGATGCTTAAGAGATATCATGAATGAAAAAATGGGTGATCACATCTCGTGTTGACATATTATATATTCATATTATGATATTTTCACTTTTATTAATCATTTCTTCTCCTTATCTGTTTTCCCACTGGGCGATTTTATGAAATGCCACAAAACAACAAACTCGTGTAGGAGGATCTCTTCCGTAAACTTTAATGGGCTGAAGGTGGTTTGTGTGCAGATAGTTAACCAAAACCTAAAGAGTCCCAAACTAGGACGAAACAGCTGTCCAGTACTGAGGGAGTTGCCATGGGGTCACCAGTATCCCCGAATGTGGAATATGTATTCATGGATAGGTGGGAAAACATAGCGATTGAAACGTTCGACCCCACCCCAAAAGTATGTTCGAGGTATGTAGATGACACATTCACTGTACTTAGAACCCAATATATATATATAGATAGATTTGTCGAACACATTAACTCACAAGTGGTGGCAGTTCAACTCACTTATGAATTAGAAAGTAAGGAAGGAGAGATTCCAATGTTACATTGTAGGATAAAAAGGAAAGAAGATGGGAAGTTAAACACACACTAGTGTTTACAGGAAACCCACACAGACAGACAGATATTTGGATTTCCGATCATCGCATTCTATGTCAGTAATAAAACGATTGGTGAAATGTTTAAGCGACAGGACACAAAAACTAAGTAGTACCAAGGAAAATGTAAGACAAGAAGTGATACACATAAAAGAAGCCTTGAAACTTAATAATTACACGGATAAATTAGTCAAGAAATATGTAAGGAGATGTAAAAATAAAATCAATAATGATAGTAGCGATAGTGATGATAAGAATAATAATAACAGTGATAATAATAATATTAATGACAACACCAACAATAGGGAATCTAAGTCATCAGTAGTAGTTCCATACAAGGAAGGAACCTCGGAAACCACATTACGCAGAATTCCTAACAACGCAGAAATAAAAGTGGCATTCAAACCCACAAAAGCAATTAGAAACAAGCTTTGTCGATTAAAGGATCCCGCCAGCGGAGTCAATAAAACAAAACAGTTTAGCTTATCTAATACCCTACCTGCGATGATTGTCAGGTAAAATACATAGGTCAATCTAGCAGAATAGGGGAAGTCAGTCATACTAGCCGAACATGAAAACCTAGCAAAATTTAGATTGGTTGACCCAAATAAGATAAGAAATCTAGAGAATTGTTCAGCTATAGCACTCACCACTCGCAGTTACACACAACCATACAATAGGATGAATTGGATAGGATGACAGTTTGAAAATCTAATGTCACAGGGTTGAGGGAGGGAGAGATTGTTAACAGAAGCTTTGTTGGCCAAGTTAAACTATAAGCGCCACTTAATACCAATGGAGTGCGACCGCATCAGTGACCTTAAAACGCTCATTGAGCAAGTTAGTGAAACCTGACAAATAATGTTGTCATCATCCATAAAATATGCTCATCGAAGTGTTATGCTTTTAAATGGGATAATATGGCAAGTTTCAGCTTAGGTTTGGGAAAGATTAAGTTGCGTTTTAAGGCGAGAACAAGTTAGGGTTAGGTTAACCTAATTAAGGTGACATTAGGGTTGGTTTGAGCTAGATTACAATTAGTTTAGAGATATTTTAACGTTCGGTTCAGGAAAGATTAGGGTTATTGTTAGGGAAAGGTTACAAGACCTTAATAATTACATGCATAGAATGTGGTTAAATTACTCTGTTGATATAATAATAAAACTTTCGCACTGTGGCGGTAGATTATAATTCCATTGTGGGAAAAATTTATTCTGATAAAGTCTCACAGTGTTAAACAGTACTACCTACTGATGACGTTCCGAGCACAATTTATTGATCAAGAAATATTACTGTATTACACACTATGAGACTTTATCAGAATAAATTTTACCCACAATGGTATTATACTCTGTTGATACGCCAAACTAAAACTGAGAGCTTTTTATATCACATGTGAGAGGAAGTTATCCTCTGTAACACTTTTATTCAGCTTTTATATCATTATGTGTATTCCATACACAAAAAAGCCTCCTTCACATGATTCGTGCGTTTGAGTTCATGTGCTTAAAGTTTAACTTTGCCACTTTGTTAATCGAATCAGCTGCAGATAAATGTGATAGGAATGATTCAACACATGTACCAGATATCTGGAATATTCAGCTACTCCTACGATAAATTGGAGAAGACAAAAAGAAACTATAAAACTCAAGGCGTTCCCAATCCAAAAGCGATACGGCAACATGGTAGATGATATCTAGTTTGTTCGTTGATTTCATTCTTTTGTATAAGATTAGGCTAACTATTTCAATCTATTATTGTTAGGCATTATGTGCCGAATTCCTTTGTGAATACGAAATTTCCTAAAACTAAGTAAAATCACAGAAATCCTTTTATAATTGTACAACGTTGGTGGTAGAGAGACTGCATTCCTGAACCTTGATAGAAAATTGTTTCCCCTCACTCACACTCATAGGTGAGGATCCATAACCGAAAAAAGGATAAAAACGACTGGAAATTTCCATTTCCCTGCCTCCCCTCCACAAAAGATGCAAATGCTTAATTCAGAAATCAAAAGTGGTACTGAAGCAGAACTCTTTTGTAGACGGCTTTGTAAACCTGTCAATAAGACATTCTTGGCCTCCAGACTACGAGTAACACTTTTCTGCAAGTAACCATTCAATCAGTGTGTTAGAGACAAGCTGTAGCATTGAGCCACTTCAAGATGCATATACCAGTTAGTTCACTTGCTCGTGTGGAGCTGAGTGCATTGGCCATGACATTTACCCGCTTGTAAAACGCGCTTGTCAACATTATCCAGCATGGTTAGCAAAGGGAGAACGAAAGGGTGAATATAGTTCGGTAACACAACATCTGGTGAATTCACGACATTCATCTCCATTCGAAAAGTCCTTCAAAGTCATATCAAAGATCTGATCAAGCCTCTCAATGAAAGTGAAATTAAAACATCTGGCTGAGCATAGCTGAGGCACTAGCGATCAAAAAATCCAATGCCACACTACGTATTCGAAAGAAATATGTCCGTCCATCCATTGTTTCCACCATCGCCATCAAAAAATGTCCAATTCTCTGAAAAGTCTTTATCCTATCACCTTTCGTATTCAATCCTTCTGACTATTTCTGTAATTTCAATGTGTTTTGAATTCCTGGCTGCATTACTATGCTTTTTATGCGAACATCCGGCCTATTTAATTACCACAACATCTTTAATCCTTTGTGGTACAAAAAGTCTTAACCTTCTCAGTGATCACCATCTCTTCGTATGTTGTTTCTCCGATCTTTCTGTTTACCAAACTTTGTAATTTGATTAATTTGGCCCTCGACGAGAAAAAGTCCTTTGACTTTCTCACCCACTTACTATAAATACACGAATTTACAGCCTAGTTGACGATGACTTAGTCGAGAAGAAAATCCTCATCACTGCAACAGCCTTTTCATTAAGTCCCAAGATTTAATATGTATACTCTGTGGAAGCATTATTATTATTGTTTTTTTAAATGAGTGTTTATAGTAAAGTTAATTTTTTTCTAAAATCTAAACGAATTACACAGTTAAGGAAGTAGAATGAATTCTTCTCAAAAAATGTTGATGAATATTGTTACTATCATGGATTTTGTTTGAATCGTTCAGTGAATAAGTAATAATTGGACAGTCAGTCAGTGAGGCGTCTAATTTAAATGGTACATGATAACATACACACTCAATTGGAAGGAAGCCATTATAGCTGCAATCAACCATGAATTCGATTCCGGTTTAGCTGTACCATATTCGGAGAATGCTTGATAGTACATGATAACACTGAGTACTGCACACACAACTGGAAAAAAAACAGACAAAAGAATTAATCATATAGATAGGCGAAATAAGACAGTCGAGCAATGCTTACTATCAGATAAATGAGGCCAAACTGATTATCTTGATTCTAAAAAATATCAACTTCATAGTGTAAATATATACGCTGAAATGTGACTCTGATGGCCGAAGCTGTTGATGTGAATTACGAGGCAGGGAATTATCCAACAATGGTCGGTGCCTTCTGAAATAGCCGGTAGGTTCTTAATAACACTTGGTAAACAAGATACGTTCCTCAATCCACTTCACAATTCCCAAATTAGTAAGTAATTGACAGTGGATACAGTCCAACGGAATGAACGCTTCACAACAGTTTTCTTGGTGAAACACAAAACACCACCGGTTGAGATATGACTGGTGTACAACTACTCGTCTGAGTCAATCAGTAGTATACCGTTTTATGCCAAAATATGCTCGCCCTCTTCAGTGCCGTTCAGTGTATGAAACGGATCTTGTGCTGTGTGTGTGATCTGAACAATTTCGGTTTCCGATGAGAAATGTGGTGGAAATCGCAAATCGCTAACTAATTAACAAATCGTCAATCCGATCTATTGTATGACCAGTTCACCCGATAAACTGATTCGGTTCTGTCTCTAAAATGGAGTCAAACGGGGTACATAGCAGTGGTGAGCTCGGTGCAAAATGAAGGTAACTACCGTCTGGCGTTTAGATCACCTCGATCTGCTTAGCTGGCCAGTCACCGATGCTTGTTGATGTGAGTGGTACTCAGGTACTCGTCTCAATCAATCAGTCGTATACGAGTTGACACAAAGATGAGTTCGTCTCAAAATGTCTTTGCTGAACATTAATATACTAAATCTTATTCAAAGACATTGGTGAAGACATGATCATGCATACGTCGACTTAGCTTCACACGTAAATACAAGCACGATGAATAGGGATGAGGAAGCCAGTGTAACTGAAGGTGGTCCTGAGATTCATTCCGCTTTTATCAGGTCATGCTTCAAAAATGCCAGAAAGACACAACTCTGTAAAGGAAGATTCACATAGAATGATGTGGTTTTTATCAGTGTGAAGACATGAAACCAATATCTTATTATTTAGGTAGACAAACGGAATGAATCAAACATGCGCATGTTAGCAGTAACATGTCGGACATACTACAGTGTCTTTCGATTTCCACGAAACCTTGAAATCCATTTTTCATCAATTAATCTGATTGACAAATACAACAGACAATGGACGAACGCAAAGGGCAGATTCGCTTAACGTCATTCTGTCGCCAGTCTTTCTGATTGCATGTGACTGCACATTACAAAATTGTTGGCATTAGTTGTCCAATCCCTCCGGGATTTGCCAGTGTGTATTGATCAAAGAGGAGTGGATATTGCTGGACTGACGATTGTAACACAGACAAATCTCGTTAGGGATATGATTCATTTCACGGTGTAAATTGTCACAGAATAAATGGAAGAACTATCGGACATGAGAGATCACTGAAGAGCAGTTTCGCTCCTGCGTAAGTGGCTTGGAGAGTATGCCAGAACACAATACCGCTAGGATCTCCACATTCCTGAAATCACTTACATCTTAAGTTCTCCAGTCAGCCATAATTTAATTGCACACAGAGACGACAAGGTTCTTCACAGAGTGAATCACTCTCATTGTAATCTAACCAACAGTAACCACAAGAATTTAAAACACACGCAAATTCGATAACATTCTCGCTCGAAATAACTTATTGAATGTCTGTCGCATATCTCCTTACGAGCATTTAACACCTCAGTCAATAATAATAAGTATGAGAGACAGTAAGGATCATGAAAGTAGACAAAATACGATCTAGGATTATTTCACAAACACAGACACACACAAACATATGAATGTCATACGTTCTTGATGATGTCAACAGCGGCCAGCAACTATCCGACACATAACACAAGGATACAAAATTATTACATGCATCAAAAATCACAACTCACATCCTGATACAATCAGTCCGATATAGGCATATTTCAAACTTTTGCTGCGGAATTTAAAGGCGTATACTGAGTATAGTATGAGCGCGAAGATGAAGGCGAACAAAGCAATGAAGTAGAAGGCTTGAGCAGCTTGGAGTAGTTTCGGCTTCGATCCACCTGTTAAACAGTAGGGCGGAGAAGTACATTAGCGACTTGCCATTGTCATTATTATTGCAATTATTATTAAAACTATTATTATCATTATTATCCTGAGAGAGAGAGAGAGAGGAGAATATCTGAATAACACATTTCTAAGAGAAATACTGCGAGATGACGGTATCATTTCATAGTGTCTTAACAACTACTTCACAAAGCGTATGGTTCATAGTGATAAAATAAAGAGTATGAAAAACCGCTCGACTAGAGAAGGAAATAGGGGGGTGTCCTAGGAAACTTTACGCTGTGCAACTGTTATGTGGATGATATGCTTATTATTGGTGGCAATAGTAGGTCAACATGTAGCCTAATTACTCTATTTATTAATGTTTATGCAAATATTCAAATGACTTGAGAATTCGAGTTGAACGAAATCAATGTTTCCTGAATATCTTGATGACTAGGTGGGATGATGAAGTAATGAAAACGATCCATATCTCGCAGGCGTAGATGGAGTGGCCAATATCTCTATTTCCGCAGTTTCCTTCATATCCAGTACAAATGTCCTACGGTGTGAGATGCCTATTTTCAGGGGGCTGTGAAATCTGCACGAACGACGCATCAATACATGAGCTATGCCTATTTCATTCAGCTTTATTGATTGACGGTTGTTCTGAAAACATCATCGTTTTTCACAGTGTGGAAAGACTGACTGTCTGCTGGAAAGGCGGATTCCATACCAAAGAAGGCTGTCTTTATGAGAATAACATTCTAGAGTGATTGAATCATGCAGACAACAGTTCGATTGTTTCAGTCAGCTATCAAGCGCGCATTCTACGTCGCATCGCTTTTCCTCATATCTCGAACATTTTCAATCCCAGTACCTACGACTAAAGGACGAATTTCTGCCAACTCTTCTTCATACACACATATTTACATAGGTAGGACCAATACAATGTTCCAGTGTTGAACATGGAAACGACTTGTTCCTGAATAGTTACCATGTCATACAGGAAACCCATTAACATAATCTAAGTAGAAATTCGTCATCATGCATTGCAAGGCATTTATCAGTGTGTGTCAATGACTGCCTCTCAGTTACTTGACATAACTCCTAACCAAGGTTACTCAACAAATTCGTAATAATCGTCACATACATCCTAAACTATGTGTACACAAGATTTCAATGGACTCCGGTCTCAACCTACCAGGGTCTACTTGACCTCCTGAAGTGTAGTTCGTCACAAGTTCGTCATAAGTATGCACTTTTACTTTAACATAACTGTGAATTTGTGCATACATTTTTATTTATTATTATTATTATTATTACTGTGAACCATGATGGCAGTAAACTGAGGGTAGACAAACGCCGAAATGATACCATGCCGCTTTCGGAATAATATTTGTCTCCTAAATGCCTTATTTAAATTTATCAAAAAACGACAAACTGTTTCAAGAAGGGAATATGCGTGGATAGTGAGATAAACATCTGCAACTGTCATAAAGTAACACATTTACTGGAGTTTAGTATGCGGTACGAGGAATCTTCTGAATCAGGGTGATGCTCATCACAAAGAAATATTCACGAGAAAGAGGAGGTGAAGAAGGAGGCGGAGGAGTTGGAAGGCAGAATATCAGCTGAGAAGTTATTCAATTCACTGCTCAGAAGAAACGCACACTGTGGCTTCAGCTGTATGTAGAAGACGCGATCGTTAGGGGAAGTAGACATTGGTCGAAATTCGATAAATAACTTTGAAAGCTGTATTTACACCAATTTCATACTCACCGTCTACACAGTGTGCTATGTGAGGGAGAGGGATACGAATAGACATTGTTTGTCACTTGCCTAACCAACCATACATGACGATATATATATATATATATAAAACGCGAAATAATTGAGCAAAGAATATCGTTTTCGATAATTCCTTCATCTTCTGGCGCTACAATTACATATATGTATATGTTTATATACATAGAATATTGTAGAACAGTAGTCAATATCAATATTAGTGTTTTCTAAATAATATCGACTTGTAAAGTAAGATTGACGGAATTGCAGTTAATTAAAGATTCTCAAATTATAATAATAATAACAAATATATAACATCAAATAGAATATCAACTGAAATTAGGTAAATTTCTACAAAAATTGAGGATCATTCAAAAATGGATGGCCAAGGTAAGAGCAATGTCTGAGCCGCCTTTCTTTTGGATACATAATTTAAACTTCTCGATGTGGATGTCAACGGGCTCAACAATATTTGTAATCGAAGTCCAAAGGAGAAATTAAGATTTGTTGGTATGCGGTAAATGACTCTGAAAGCCTGATTAACATCAATCTTGTGTTCTGTATTCACAAGATGAGATAGCATAGCGCTACGCGTAGATTTTGTTTGTCCTTTACTTAATGACGCAGACGAATTTCCGGAAATTCGACTAGATATACACCTCACTGTATGGCCTATGTACATATATATAATCGTAGAGCCAGAAGAGGAGGAAATTATCCAAAAGGATATTCTTTGCTCAATTATTTTGTGCTTTCTAGATGTCTGAATGAATAGTTTCGCTACATATACATATACATAAGTTTATTGGAGTAGAGTCAGAGATGAGGATCTAACTGAAAAGTGAATATTTCTTCACACACTTCATTTCTATCATGTAAATCGACCTTCAAGTTTCAGAAACTTCCACACATCGGCTACCAACAATTAAAAAACACAATCTTCCAACTACTATTCTGAAGTACAATATGCTAAGAAACAAAGAGAAATTCATTGTCATTTCGCTCAGTGACTATAATTTACTCATCAAATCAACACCTCCACCTGCATTAGCGTGTCACTAACGCAACAGATGGACTTCAGCTTGCTTCAATACACGCAGCAATGCATGCAAATAAAGCCGATATCAAGCGTGTATAAACACAAAATAGAACACTGACACATTCATGATACATACATACACACATCAAAAGGCGATATTAATAATGACAATAATAATAAATTTAAAAAACGATAGCACTTCTAAGGCCACTTAAACATTGAAACTAATTTCGATAAGCTACAAATCTGTAGAGCATTATTCAAAAATATATATATCAAGCTGATTTAGACTGCAAACAAATGACATGCATTTTTCAACTTACTGGTTAGAGTAGTGTCCTCACCGATCGATGTCGCTGTCAGACTTATGAGTAGCGCTAAGCTTACAATGGTGAAGAATTGCTCACGATCAAAACTGGCCATCGTTATATGTTATAGCTGATATTGCCTTCTTTAATCTATACAACGTTGCCTTTCAAGTGAGAAAATGTTGACTTAAATAACAAACCGATTTATTGATTTCTCGTTGTTACCTTGTCTTTTCTACCGCAGATACTGATGGCGTAGGTAACGATGGCAGAGAGAGAAAAACTTTGTCCCTGAGTTAGTTAGACACTAATGCTACTACTCCTACACAGCTTATGTATAGGCTCTTGCTGTACACACATTCACTGGTCAATAACCTTTATTCTTGAATAACTTAGTATAACTTGCATTAAATAATCTTTGTGCACTTTAAAATACCATAATCATATTATTAGCATTATGAGTGTGTTTAGTAAAGAATGATAACGATTGTTGAAATGAATCAGTCACACCTACACAGTGGACTATGCTTTCAGTTGCTTGCAAATCGATGAATAGCACAAGTGTAGAGTGAGAGTTTGTCACACTGTCCATCTGTGCAAATCTCATTTGTTAGTAGGAAGCACAGCTAACTGATCTAAGACAGATTTTGAAAACCTGAGATAGAGAGAGTGAGCAAGAGACAAATAACCAAGGTCAAGTCTATAAGCCAATATAAGAAGGCAGAATTGTCGCCAACCACTCAAGTGGCCTGTCCTCGACCAATGAACCACTGTATCTCGCTCGGTAAGCTGGTTGTGAGACTTGTTGAAGAGGGGCAGGCGTGAGGCTTGTCACCCAACTCGTCAATAATAAACATCACCTCTATTGAAACTGCAAAGACTAAAGCTTGATGCCCTGTACTCCACTGAGAAAACAGGAGAATAAAATACAATGATAGACATATCTTTTTTTATCTAGTTTACAAGTCATTACCTTAGCATTTCGTCATCCCAATATACACACGTTTAGTTAGTTAGTTAGTTGGTTGGTTAGAAGCTAGAGTCATGATCTTGACCCACAAAACTCACTAGTAGTGTGAATAAAATTTAAATTTGAATCGGATGATAGACAAGGTGAATTAGCCATGATGTGTTAGATTGTAAAATAAAGCGAATAGAAGAAGGTAAACTGCACACTAGTGTTTATAAAAAGCCAATGCATTCTGCTAATAGATATTTAGACTTTAATTCATCTCATCCGTTCGTTATCTGTCTGTGAAGACTGCCTTATAGTTAAGTGTCTAACAAACAAGCCAAAAACAACACTAAGTAGTACAAGAAAAGACCTAACTGGTGAAATAAAACAGATAGAAGAATCGTTGGTGTCAAATAACTAACTATCCTAAAAAGTTCATTAGGAACTTGCAACTTTTTAATGATTCTGTGGATCTCTTCTTTCAAGAATAATTTTTGTAGTCTTTTTATTCTGCATGTGACTCTGCTCGTTGGAAGTGGACCTCGTAGACACAGATATTTAGGAATGATTTCATTTTTTAAGCATTGAATGTTGAAAATACGATGATTTTCATATCTTGATTCAATTTGTGAAAGTCAGGTGAGTTTATTGATAAACCTTCGTACAGGAAGACCATAAGTGATATTAATGTATGTGTAAGACTTGGGCGCTGTGGTAGTAGGTAATTCGATATTAGAGGTATGTAGATGACACATTCACTGTACTTAGAACCCAATATATATATAGATAGATTTGTCGAACACATTAACTCACAAGTGGTGGCAGTTCAACTCACTTATGAATTAGAAAGTAAGGAAGGAGAGATTCCAATGTTACATTGTAGGATAAAAAGGAAAGAAGATGGGAAGTTAAACACACACTAGTGTTTACAGGAAACCCACACAGACAGACAGATATTTGGATTTCCGATCATCGCATTCTATGTCAGTAATAAAACGATTGGTGAAATGTTTAAGCGACAGGACACAAAAACTAAGTAGTACCAAGGAAAATGTAAGACAAGAAGTGATACACATAAAAGAAGCCTTGAAACTAATAATTACACGGATAAATTAGTCAAGAAATATGTAAGGAGATGCAAAAATAAAATCAATAATGATAGTAGCGATAGTGATGATAAGAATAATAATAACAGTGATAATAATAATATTAATGACAACACCAACAATAGGGAATCTAAGTCATCAGTAGTAGTTCCATACAAGGAAGGAACCTCGGAAACCACATTACGCAGAATTCCTAACAACGCAGAAATAAAAGTGGCATTCAAACCCACAAAAGCAATTAGAAACAAGCTTTGTCGATTAAAGGATCCCGCCAGTGGAGTCAATAAAACAAAACAGTTTAGCTTATCTAATACCCTACCTGCGATGATTGTCAGGTAAAATACATAGGTCAATCTAGCAGAATAGGGGAAGTCAGTCATACTAGCCGAACATGAAAACCTAGCAAAATTTAGATTGGTTGACCCAAATAAGATAAGAAATCTAGAGAATTGTTCAGCTATAGCACTCACTCGCAGTTACACACAACCATACAATAGGATGAATTGGATAGGATGACAGTTTGAAAATCTGATGTCACAGGGTTGAGGGAGGGAGAGATTGATGACAGAAGCTTTGTTTATCGAATCAGCTGCAAATACATATAATAGGAATGGTTCAACACCTGTCCCAGATATCTGGGAAGTTCTACTACCCCTACGATAAATACGAGAAGACAAAGAATGCTATAAAACTCAAGTTTCAAAGTCGTGAGATGATTATGAACAATAAATTTTGTTCGAAACGTCATCCAGTAAATAATACTGTTTCACTGTGTGATACATCTAATAAACAAACCAATATGGAACCCTGCAATGACTGTGAGATCAACAACATATGTAAAACTAGTAGGCCAAGGGTAGTCAGATTGTCGGAACGTAAGAATTTCTCTAAGGTAAGAATGGTCGACCCCGAGAAGATAAGTAATTTAGAAAAAAGCTCAGCACTACATTGCACTGCATGCATTTACACACAACCGCACAGTAGTGTGAGAGAGGGTTAGAATTTTAAGAAGTAATATAGGTAGTAGGTACGTCTGTGGTACAGCGGTAGAGGGCTCGCCGACTCGCAGGCGGTCCGGGGTTCGATCACTCCCCCCTCCACGACGTACTCCCGAACCTCGACAAGCCAGTAATAAGACTGGTAAAGAAGAAAGGTTGGGCATGAGGCAGGCAAGCTACTCCAACCTGTAAAAATAATCACCAATGCTACGGAAACTTCAAGCCTCTAGTTTGAAGCCCTATCTTCCATTGGGAACGTAAAAGAATAAAATATGCCTGTATCCGCGCTTTTCAATCAGTGCGTTACTTTTTGCTGTAATTTATAAAACTCTCATTTCCTTGCTATTCTTCACCACGAAGTTCTGGAAATTATTGAATTCCGTTAACTTTCGAACGCTTAAACCCTGGATTTACTATTATTGACTACTAATACCTATAACAAAGTTTGTGGACATTTGTATCCTTTAAGAACAACTCATATGTAAAATTGTATATATTATTGGATTTATATGTTCAAGTTGGCCCAAGTCAGTGAGTCCACGATTTTGGTATCATTTTAGTTAACTGTGCTGAACTATATTGCATGTTGTTGTATTGTATCGTTGTTGTCGCTTTTTGCCCTTTATGCTGTGAATTGTTTTCCTTTTATTGGTGTTGTTCTGATTGTTTTATCCCTTGTTATCTGATTTTAAGGAGAGCAACCCAAAAGGTCGCTTCTCTCTAAACTTTATCTTATGTAACCATTCTTTTCTCAGGCGTGAGGCTAGCAACCCCGCCCTGTAAACAAAATTGCTACAGAAACTTCAGCACGATGAACCTCTTTGCACCAAAAGAAAAAGTCTGTGTGGGGACATGGAACGTCCGCACTATGTACGAGACTGAGAGAGCTGCCCAGATCGCAAACGAGATGAAAAGATACGGAATCCAAGTGCTGGGAATATGTGAAAGCAGATGGAATGGGAATGGACTCACCAAATTGTCAACGGGTGAGTCAGTGATCTACTCCGGTCACCCAGAAGATAACCACACGCACACCGAGGGCGTGGCTATCATGATGTCACCAACGGCAACAAAGACCCTGATGCAATGGGAGGCGATCGCGTCCAGGATAATGACCGCCAAATTCAACTCCAAAGGAAGGAAAGTGTCAATTATACAATGTTATGCACCCACAAACAACGCAGACCCCGAAAAGAAAGAAGAATTCTACAGACAACTACAGGCAACAATGGACAATACTCCAGCTGGCGACATTAAAATACTAATGGGAGACATGAACGCCAAGCTAGGACCAGACAACACAGGAAGGGAACTCATCATGGGTAGAGAAGCTCTCGGAGAAATGAATGAAGACGGAGAACTCTTCGCCGACTTCTGCGCCTTCAACGAACTAGTGATTGGTGGCAGTGTATACAAACACAAAGATATCCACAAGGCTACATGGGTGTCACCACATGGGCAAACCAAAAACCAAATTGACTTCATCTCAATCTCAAGGAAGTGGAGGCGCAGCCTACTGGACACAAAAGCAAGAAGAGGAGCAGACGTTGGCTCAGACCACTATCTCGTACAAGGGACAATCCAAATCAAACTAAAAGCTTTCAGAGAAGGAGGCGCTGCAGACAGACCACAAGCCAAGTTCAACACTCAAAAGCTGAAGGACCAGGCTACAAAGGACATCTTCATTGCAAGCGTAAAGGACAAAGCCGAGACACAAATCAACACCAGCAAAGAGGTCAGCGTTGAAAAGCACTGGGACAACTTGAAAACGGTGTGGAGCCAAACCTGCATGGAAGTTCTAGGCAGAAAGAAGAGAGGCAGGACAAACAGTGGCTCACTACGGACACTTGGAAACTAATAGAAGAGAGAAGGACAGTGAAACAAAAGATTATCCAGTGCACTGACGAGCAACAAAAACAGGAGCTGAATGCAAGCTACAATACACTGAACAAAAGAGTGAAGAAGAGTGAGTGCCAGGGAAGACAAAAGAAAATATTATGAAACCATGGCAAACGAAGCAGAACAAGCTGCAGGCAAAGGAGACCTCGCCACACTCTACCAAACAACTAGGCACCTATCGGGAAAAAGTTCGACACAGATTAAGCCAATAAAGGATGACAATGGAAAGTCAATCACCAAAGAGGTGGAACAAAAGAAATACTGGGCTGAACACTTCAAAAGACTTCTAAATCGACTGCCACCTACAACGCGCCCAACAATACCAACAACGGAAGCAGAACTACCAGTGAACATCGACCCCCGACGAAATCAGAGGTCCTGAATGCAATCAAGATGCTAAAAGCCGGAAAAGCAGCAGGACCAGATGGAATCCCAGCAGAAGCATTGAAAATGGACCCAGAGACAACAGCGGACTTGATGACGCCATT